ATATATGTTGCAACTTTGGCAAAATGCAAATCAAACATGACTTCTCTATATAATCTTATTTGCGATAGTGGCTATATAGCTCAGTGGAATGTGTTTTCTGTAGATGATGATGTGCTGGGTTGCCATCTGTCCATACATTTACCAGCAGGAACAGCCTTGAGTAGAGCAATGCTATGTGTATCTATTTGTCTGTTGGTATTCCTTGCAGTACTGATCTTATATCTATATTATACTCCTTTTACCTGGGGAGCCTTTTCTATAACTGATGCAAGATCTCTCGTTTTATCGGTTTTTTTTGTTGGTTTTTTTTTGCCATACTGACTCACTGCTGTGTCAGTATCTCATCGCCACAACACTCTATAGAATCTTATTTTTAGCCATGGCCATACTGACTTGTCATCTGTGTCGGTATACCATGGCACTGTATACATCCTATTTATATCCTGAATTATTACAATGTCACTATAACAGAACCCTATCTTTCTATAGATCTTATTGTATATTCCATGACCATACTGACTTACTATTGTGAATATCAGAACCAAATCATTTTATAGATCTTATTTTTTATCCTTTACCATACTGACCTTTTACTTGTGTCAGTATTCCATCACCATAACACTATAGATATTATTATAATCCTGAATTGTTACAATGATGATATAACATAAACATTTCATTCTATAGATTTTATTTTTATCCATGCCTGGCCATATTGACTTACTACTGTGTCAGTGTGCCATATCCATAACACTTTAGATCCTATTATAATCTTGAATTTCTACAATGTCAGTATAATATAACACTATAGATCCTATTTTAATCCTAAATTGTTACAATGATAATATAACATCAACATTTCATTTTATAGATCTTATTTTTTTATCCTTTACCATGCTGTCTTACCACTGTGTCAGTAAACCATAACTAGAACACTATAGATCCTGTTTTAATCCTGAATTGTTACAATAATATAATAATATAACATAACCACTTCATTCTATAGATCTTATTTTTATCCTTTGCCATACTTATTTTTGTACAATGTCAGTATAAAGTATCCATTTCATTCTATAGATCTTCTTTTTATCCATGGCCCTATTGGCTTCCTTCTGTGTCAGTATATCATCACCAGAACACTATAGATCTTATTTTGATCCTGAATTGTTACAATGTCCCTATAATATAACACCATCTTCCTATAGATCTTATTTTTATCCATGGTCATACTGACTGTGCCGGATATACAAATACCATTCTATAAATCCTTTTTGCTATACTGACTTTATTCAGTGTCAGTATATCGCAGATCTCATTTTTTAAGCTTTGCCATACTGACTCTCCATGTCATTAAATCCTATTTCCATCCTTTGCTATACTGACTCCCTACAGTGTAACAGAGCTGTATCATCCTATAGATCTCATAATTTTTTTTATACCCCGAGCCACGCTGACGTCCTACTATGTCAGTATAACATTGCCATGCCATTGTATAGCTCTGCCCATTTTGCTATCGTGCCCCGCGGTCGACCGCCCAGTAATTTACGAACCGAGAAAAATAAATAAATAAAGGCTGAAAAGAAAACGCCTGTAAAGATTCCTGCCATTGTCCTGATGACATGCCAATCATGAATGTGGTGTGTGGTGGTCACCTCCTAGCTCTTTTATAGGACACGCAGCATGCTAGCGTGATGCCAGCTGGGCATTGCTTCCGTCACACACAATGGTGAAGCGATGATACATTGTATCATGCAGGAAATGTAATTGGCACAGCGACAGTCACATAAACAATTGAGGACGTCGGGCAGCGTTGTGAATGTTTCAGGGCTGTCGGGCACCTGTCCGTATTTTATTTATTACAGGTATTTTTTATAGCGCCAACAATTTACGCAGCGCTTTACATAGTTGCACATTCTTCTCATTTTTTGGGCTGGCACACGGCGTTAATGTGATGCAGATCAGTTTGTCAGTTCCTCCCCAATCTCAGCTGCTGTTCCGGCAGCAGCCAGCATTCCCTTGCAGATGGGGCTGCTGCAGACAAGGGGTTAAGGGAACACAAAAGAGGAGAAGGGGGGCGGTGACACTCATAGATGGAGGGGATGTTTTTTTGATCTATCATATGTTTTAGTATTTTAGCACCAAACCGCTTATGACTTGACATTTGTAGGAATTGCACACTTGTATATTGCTATTTAATCAGTTGCATTAGAGCCAGCTATAGACCCTGGGAGGGTTTCCAATCTCTGTTGGCCATGCTGTTGTTAGCTGTCAAAGAACCTAAAATAAGGAGCTCAGATAAGGGCCAGATGGATGTGGACCCATTAGAAGTAGGAATGTGCATCTGGTTGGGGAGGGAGGTAGTGTTTTGTGTGGCAGTGTGTGTGTATGTGTGCGTGCCCTTCTAAGATTTGACACTGACTAGATCTCCTCCACACAGTAATGGGAGTATGCTTGCCCTTCCTTTTCTGATGAGGTCAAAAGATCACTGCTTCTCTGCGATCCATTGGCCTCTTTAGACAGAGGAACATCGGTTGCAATCCAAAAAAATAAATAAATCTATAAAATAATTTAAAAAAATGTCTATCTTGACGATGAGATATTACATTTTGCATTTATCAATTGTTTTTTTTTTTTCCTCCATTGTGTAGCACAGTGAGTGACCCAACATGCTGCTCTGTGGTGTGACTCCCCTCTGCATTTACCTGTACTGTGACATCCCCTCTTAACCATTTCCTGTTTCCATCTGAAGAAAACATTGGTCTTTTATTTAAGCTGCGGTATCCCCTTCTGTCATGGCTGCTTGTCCTTTTATTTCTTTGTTTATGGGGTTGGTGGGTGGTTGGGGGGGGGGCAAAAAAAAAGGGTTTACTTTGCTGTTAACCCCTTGTGTTTGCATGCAGATGCAATTAAGCCCTCCTTTTCTATGCTTCGATGATGCCATCTGGTCACCGTCTCATGATTACAAATCACTAGGATGGTATTTGTAATTTAGAACATTCTTTTTTTTTTTAATTTGTTACCTCTGCAACTGCATCGTCACCTTTCACTAATAAGCACTAATATTTGCCAATAAGCCAACGCTTTGCAGTACCCAGGGTCATAAATAAATGACCATTTCCCGCATACGTTAGCCAAATCTTGGGTACATATCAATTATTTACATTATTTAAAAATCAATCACAATCCCTTACAAAAGGGTCGGACTATATAGCCCTGCTATAAGAGGATACTAATGCTTTAAAAAGAAATGAAATTTCCAAAAAAACAAACATATTTTAAATGTTAAAAAAAAAAAAACTGTAGAGAATGTAACCCTGAATCTATTTTTTTCTTTGTAGTCTCATTGTAGTAACATAGATAGACTTGTAGATTTTAAAAGCCATTTTCTGTATCTTCATCTTGTTTAGCTAAGTACATTGCACTGTAAATTCCTGTTAAGTGGATTCCATTTGCTCCTGGGTGGGGGAAGGGAAGGCCTCAATCTCAGCTATTTATTTTCCCAACAGCACAAAATCATCAGTTAAAAAAATAAAAATGCTAAAAAAGAAAAAGGGGGTGATTGGTTTCCCGAAAAGATCTGGCCTTTTATTATTATTATTATTATTATCTCTCTCTCCCTATCGTATGCAGTAAGACCGGGAAACAATAACACGTGAGAGCCAAAATCGACTCCATATTGTTTGGAGATTCCATTGTTCCGAAGTGCTGTTACGGCTTTAAAAAAAAAAAAAAAGAAACTTTGTCCAGTTTAATAGCAAATGGATGTCCGTTTAACAGGGATACTTCTTTTTTTTTCTGCTGTGCTATAAAGACGACTACTTCCTGTTCTTATTTTTGTGGGTAATGTTCTGTATCAGAAATCCTTTTGGTCGTGGACCTTCCACCTTTTTTATTCATGTACTAAGACTTAAAGCATGTTCTTGTATTTTTTGACATTACCTAGTTTTCTCTGATGTAATTCTCTCTCTCTCTGTAGAGACGTACCCTGCTATAATGTAATGTGCTCTAGCCTATACATCTTACTCATTGTATGCTGCTTTTGTTTCGTTCTGTTCCGCCCCTCCGAAGCATGGTAGGCTTGCCTCTTTTTTGTATTGTGTGCATGATGACATTGTTACACACAGTTTCACTAATACTAATATAAGAAATCTTTCAATAAAGAAACTAGTTTTCCTCTATTAACCTAGTCTGCCTTTTTCTATTGCTGTTCTCCCATTTATTGTTGTATTCCTTTATTTTCTATTAGACTCTATTCCCTCATGCTGTATCACTATCTCCTTCCTTTTTTTTTTTTTTTTTTCTGTGAGTTCAGAATGAATGCTTTCGTAGTCCCGGGTCCCATTTTTTTCATTAGTCCAGACCCTAGCTTATACATATGGCACACGGTGTTCACACAGCGAGTAGCGGGAGAGAGTTTGAATTTGAAATAAAATTGATATGTTAAAAGCTGTATTTTAATGATTATTTATAAACAGGATTTATATGGCGCCAACAGTTTGCACGGCACTTTACAAATATAAAGGGAGACAGTACAAGTACAATACAATTCAAGACAAGATGGTTAGGATACAAGAGATAGTGGGTAAAACAAAGTTTTCTTTGTGCAAAGATTATTAAACCCCTAAGGATCAGTCAACCTTTAACTTAGGCCCTTAATGTACATTGGCCAATTGGCAGGCCCTTTAAAAGCTAGATGAAGCACCTGGAGTCTTACTAGTGCTTAATGGAAATTGGTCAACTGTCAGGCCCTTTAAAAGCTAGATGAACCACCTGGAGTCTTACTAGTGCTCAATGGACATTGGTCAACCAATAGGCCTTTTAAAAGCTAGAAGAACCACCAGGAGTCTTACTAGTGCTCAATGGACATTGGTCAACTGGCAGGCCCTTTAAAAGCTGGATGAA